TTTTTAGTAGAGACGGGGTTTCACCATGTTGACCAGGATGGTCTCGATCTCTTGACCTCGTGATCCACCCGCCTCAGCCTCCCAAAGTGCTGGGATTACAGGCTTGAGCCACCACGCCCGGCCAGTCTTCAATTTCTTGACCTGGGTATTGGTTACATAGGTGTTTGCTTTATGATTTTCTTTTCTTTTGAGACGGAGTCTCACTCTTTGGCCACGCTGGAGTGTATCTCACATAGTGAGACCTTGTCTCTACAAAAATATTTAAAAATTAGGGACGGGCGTGGTAGCTCATGCCTATAATCCCAGCACTTTGGGAGGCCAAGGTGGGCAGATCACCTGTGGTCAGGAGTTTGAGACCAGCCTGGCCAACATGGTGAAACCCCATCTCTAAAAATAAATAAAAATTAGCTGGGTGTTGTGTTGTGCACCTGTGGCATCAGCTACTTGGGAGACTGAGGTGGAAGGATTGTTTGAGCCCAGGAGTTCAAGACCAGCCTGACCAATATGGTGAAACCCTGTCTCTACTGAAAATAGAAAAATTAGCCAGGCATGGTGGCAGGCACCTGTAGTCCCAGCTACTCGGGGCTGAGGCAGAATCACTTGAACCCCGGAGGTGGAGGCTGCAGTGAGCCAGGGTCATGCCATTGCACTCAAGCCTGGGCAATAGAGTAATACTCTGTCTCAATTAAAAAAAAAAAAAAAATCCAAAGGATTGGTGATCACCGGGGGCTAGAGGAAACGTGCGTGGGAGTGGCTCCTTCATGGATACTGGGTATCCATTCAGGATAATGAAATGTTCTGGAGTAAGATAGGGGTTATGTTTGCAAAGCTTTGTGAAGACTAAAAATCACTGAATCATGCACTTTAGCATGGACTTTGTTATGTGAATTCTATGTTTTGTTTTTTGGAGACAGGGTCTTACTCTGAGCCTAAGGGCCAGCCAGGAGCTTCAAAGAGGAGAGGCCTAGGAGACTGCAGCCTAAGGAGGCTGGGGAGACAGGGCCAGATCTGAGGACTTGCTGGCCCTAGATAAGGGTTTAGGCTTTTATTCCTCATGGGAGGTGGGCACAGGTCTGATTTATCATTGGTAAAGATCAATTTGCTACTGTGTAAAGAACAGCTTGGAGGGACAGCAAGGGAGCAGGCAGGTGTGGGAGGCTGGTGGGAGCAGGGACCATTGGAGGCGTGATTCAGACATGCCACGGGTGGTCTCAGACAGGGAGCAGAGGCTTCTGAATTGGGTCCCCCAGGATGGCAGGAACCAGGGGTGCCCTGGATGTTGGATCCTTGGTCCCTGGCAGTGGCTGAGTAGGTGCCCAGGAAACATGTTGGGATCAACAGCATGACTCTCCTCATCCAAGCCTCTCAAGTGTCTTGGTGTCTTCCAGGCTGGAGTGCAGTGGTGGGATCATGGGCTCACTGTACCCTCATGCTTCTGGCTCAGGTGGCCCACCCACATCAGCCTCTACCCAACCTCTGAGTACCTGGGACCACAGGTGGCACATCACCACACCCAGCTAAGTTTATTTTTTTTTACGGTGTCTCACTATGTTGCCTAGGATGGTCTCAAACCCCTGGCCTCACAAGCTGTAATAAACACTAGGAAGAAAACAGTACAAAGGAAACAGGAGGGCTGGGCAATGAGAAGCTACTTTAGAAAGGGTGGCCCAGGAGCTGAGCCCTGAGTGACAAGAGCCAGCTCAGAGGGATTGGGGAGGGATGGGGACAGCTGGAGGGCTGGGAGTAGACAATGCTCAGGCTGTTCAATGCCTGCTGCTACGCTGCACCTTGGGGCTGCCACCTCCCTTGCAGGTATGAGCCACCACTCACCAAGTTGTCCATCTCAAAGATGGTGCCGCATCAAGCAAAGCCCACCCCCTCCTAGTGTGGCTGTGCCCACTCCCTGGATGTGAAAGTGGTCTTTGTCACGTCACACCTGTTATCCCCCAGGTGTTGGGAATACCACAAGGCCTCAAACCCTGCTGCAGCACCAGGGCCCAGAACAGGGCTGTGGGCAGCTCAGGGTCCAGGCCTCAGTCCACACTCTTCTGGGCTGGAAAAGGCCTTTTTTCTGAATGGAAGCCACAACCCCAGCTGGGCGTCTTCAGACCACCTCACAATGGGACAGTAGGTCTAGATCACAGGTCAGCAAGCTTTTTCTGTGAAACAGTGACTCTCACCCCCATCAGTGCTGAGACAGCTACCCCACCCCTCCTGCATGGCTAGCTATCACATCACCTCTAGATGGACAAGCTGACATGCATGTTTTGATGACATGGCCTGAATGACAACACACAAGGCCAGAGCTCCCCAAAACTCTTCAAAAAGGGAGGCACAGTCGAGGCAGGTGAGAAGGCCAGCTGACTCTTTATTGCTTTGAGAGCAGGGGGCTCAGGAGCTCTTGGTGGGGCGGGTCCGCTTCCTCTTCACCATCACAGGCTTCTGGCTGCGCAGGATGGCGCTAGCCCTGCGGATAGCTGCCTAGGGGGCGGGGAGGGCAGAGCAAGGCTCAGCTCACACACCACAAGCCACCCCCAGGCCCATGCTGGGGGTGGGGGGAATAGGCTGAAAGCAAGAATCCATCCCTCCCCAGCCCATTATGCAACCAGAAGTGGGAGGCCCTTCCCCACAGCACTGGCCAGCCTCCCCTAGCCTGACCCCCAACCCCGGCTCACCATGCGCAGGTCGGGCCGGTACTTGTTCTTGCGTATCATGTGTCTGATGCTGCTGAGCGTGGCGCGAGCATTCTTGTTGATGGTGGTCCGCACGTAGGAGGTAGCAGGCTTCCGCTGGCCTGGTTGAGGATGAGGGAGGTCCTGGGGTCAGTCAACCTAACCTGTACCTTAAGGGCACCTCACAGGTGTAGACACAGTCTCACACTGAGAAGATGAGCACCCTGGGCCGATGGTGGACGCGTGGGCAGGCCGGCAGGTAGCTGTCTCCCCACCTGTCCATTTAACAGAAGCTCGCTCATCATCAGAGTACTGAGGAGACGGCTTCTGTCACACTCATAGCCCAATTCTGTCCACCACAAAAATACCCCTTACCCATGCCAGGAAGTTGCCGCTTCAGCCAGGGTCTGATCCAGGTCCAGCCAGAGCCCAAGCTCCTGGTAATGGGTATGAGCAGCTTCCCAAGAAGCCCAGACCCATCACCACAGCAGTGGTTAAACATCAGCTCAGGGGCTTGACCCCAGAGCAGGGTTTACCCCTCACTCCATCCAGTCCCTTACTCTAGGAAGGGCCATCTGTTATTTGCCAATTCAAGTGCTTTCAGGATGCCCCAGAACGGGGTCTCCAGGCGCAAGCAATTGGCTGCTCCCTGGACTGTGCATCCCTGAGACAGGAGGACCACTAGCCAGCAGGCTGTGTTTGTTGCTCCCATTGAATGAAAGGGCCTTTGGCTCTGAAGCAGTTCCAATCAGGGACCTGAGAAAAACTCACTCTAAAAAAACAAAACACAGCCTTCGCCAAGAACACGAGCGAAGCTGGACTCCTCCATCAGAAACCCCCCCCTCACACGAACTCAAGGAATCCCAAAAAAGGCCTGTGCCTGACAGCACAGTGTATGGGGCGGGGTCCTCCGGACCTCTTCTCCAACCTACACAGGCAGAATGGGAGTCGAATGACTGCAACCAAGCCAGCTTGCTAAGTGTGGCAGCGAGGGCCCCTCTCCTGTTGTGCCTCAATTTTCCCACCTGTGAGATGAAGCCTTCCATCCCCAGCCTGACTTGCTTTGAGGATTTCATCTGAAAACGGCAACCCCGTCCCTCAACTCTCAACAACCACCGGGGAAGTTCAGGTCTTTTTTCGTTTCAGCACTTTACAAGTGAGGACGCCGGCTAGACGCGGGCGGCTCCCAGAGCTGGCAAGTCGGCGGAAAGGGAAGTCAGTTCCCAGGCCGACATCCTGGCGCCAGGGATGCTCGCCGCGATGGCAGTGTCACTATTCCCGCCTGAGAGTAAAAAATCACAGCTCTTGCCCCAGGAAGGGGTCCACTCTCTCGCCCAAGCCAGTTAAAACTCACCGGATCTCCGCTTCATGACCACCACGACACCTTTGCCGTCGGCTGCCGGCTCCACGCCCACAGTCTTGCGGTGAATCAGCCCGTTGTAGCGGAAGGAGTTGCGGGCCTTCAAGTTATTGGGCTCCTGGGAAGCAGGCGGCACAGGGCATGGTGAAGACACGGAGGCACGCGAAGGTCCCGCCCTCCGACCGAGGCAGGACCCAGGACCCTCCTCCCGCAGGAGCCACGCATCTGGGCCCCACTTACGGTGCTGTAGGTCTGCTTGTTCCTCTTGATCAGGAAGCTGGAGCAGTTCCGCACGACCATCCATTGCAGATGCGCAGACATGGCGGCGGCTGCGGGGAAACAGGCACGTGGAAGGCGTCAGACACGGAGAACTAAACCGCGGTTGGGCCCCGGGCCCCGTTCGGACAGCAAAGGAAGAGAGCGACTGGGAACCCGGGTGAATGGGAGACACTTCAGGGCAGACGGCGACCTGGAACTCTGACAGGCGGGACTGAGTGACCTAAGGCGGCGGGCGCGAACTCAGACAGCCGAGACTTAACTGCGGGCAATGAAGGTGAGGGGAAAATAACCTGAGAATCCACAACGACTTCAGTTGGCGGGGATGGGGATCCGCCAAGGGCTCTTGAGGCCCAAGGGGAGAAAGCAGGCAGGGGAGAGTGGGCGGCGGGCGCGAGATGGCGGCCACGCCGGGCAGGGGAAGAGGGCACCCTCACCTCCTCTCGCGGCGGCGACCTGAGGCGGAAAGAGGCGGGCAAGGGGCGGGGCGACGACTTTAATACTGGATACGCATTTCCGCTTCCTCTCTGGGCGGGCGCGACGGGGGTCGTCGGTCCCCGCCTCCGAGGCGGCTCCAGGATGTTCGGCTACTTCCGCCGACCAAACGCTCAACGCTCGGGAATACTCGGAACTCTGGTTAGAGGACCGACAGAATGTCCGGAAGTTTTCGGAACTCCACGGCTGGATTTCCTAATGGCTCCAATTCGAGAAGTCCCGGGACCCATTCCTCCCCGTTGTCTCTCCGGTATTGCTCTCCCAGCGCTTGTCACTGTAATTGGCATATGATGGACGCTCAATAAACTTTTGTTTTATGAGTGAACTTGTGAATGCGAGACCTATGTAAGCCTAGCCCCGACACCTTTGGATATTTCCGGTCTTCTTAAGCCCAAGCGGTGACGGCCGATGAAGGCGCCGAGGCCCGCTCGGGTACTTTCGGAACCATCCGGAAACGCTCTTCGGAGAGGTGTGCCTCTTCGGAAACACTCCGTCTTCATTCGGAATCCCTCGGCTAATCTCGGCAGCCCCCTTGCAGTTCGCCCTCCCCAGAGTTTTTTTTAAATAAACCCTTAAACTGTTCAAGCCTGGCGAGAACCTACACGGAAACTTCTCGCAGACTGCCAGCCCAGGGGAGCGCGATGCTCTCTAAGGGAGAGTTATTTGGAGGGAGAGAGATTTGCATGTGGCTGCTCTTGGCTCCCTTTAGGGATTCCACAGATTCGCCCGTCCTCTTCCCTGCCCTCCACCTGTGGCTCCAGCCTGCAGTGTGCCTGTCACAACCCATCAGCTCCCTGGGAGGTTATGATCCGCTGTCAGGGCTACCCTAAAGGGCAGGAGCTTTGCCTGATATTTCTCTGTGTCCTCGGCCTCACCCACGCGGCATGGCACTGGGGAGGCCTCAGAGACTCCTACTAAACAAAACGACTGAGGGTGCTTGTGTCACCTCCCCAGGGCGCCTTAACTTGCCGTTCCACCCGGGAACTCCTTGGGGCAGGGCCCTCTTCTGGTCCGTAGGACTATCCATAGACAGTCGGGGTTTACGCAGCCTCCTCCACGGGTGCGCTCTGTACCTGATTGGGTCCTTCTTTGTGCCCTTGGCTTCATTCGCTGGGCACACAGGAGACCCCAGAAGATACGCGCGGAGTGAACCCCCACCCCGAGCTTCCCCCCTTAGACCACCCCGACTACTGGTTTTTGCGTCCCAGATACCCTTGAGGTCTAGGGGCCTTGTCAGATCTGCACAAGGCTCCGGGAGGCGGACACTGAGCAGAAACAACGCCACGCCCGGCTCCGAGTGTCCCATGCTGCCACCACTAAAATGCCCTGATTTTTGGCCATGTGTGACCTCCCTGGGTGGCACGGGCCCTGAACCACCCGTGGCTGTGCGCCTGGCTACCCCAGCGCAGGCCTCTGAGCAACAGTCCGTGCCCGGAAACCACGGTCGGGGCAACCCCGGCCGGGTCGGTTCGCGCCCAGCCCGGTCGGTTCGCGCCCAGCCCAGCTCAGGTGACCAGGCGGGAACTTGGCACACCTGGCGCCGTCCCCTGACCCCGCCCCGGGCCGGGCCGCACCCCGGAACGCTCTCTCCGGGCGCCAGCGGCGGCGGTACAGGGCCATGGCGGCTGCGGCAGCGGTGTGCGCCTCGCAGGGGCCCCCGCCGAGTGCACCGTCCGCGCCAGCAGCCGCGCCTGCACCCGCGACCGGCCTGGGCCGCTGCCGGATGGCGCTGCTGTTGGCCGTGGCGCTGGACGTGGCGGGCATGGCGGCGCTGCTGACCGGCGTGTTCGCGCAGCTGCAGGTGCGCGGCCGCGACTTCGGGGACCTGCTTATCTACTCCGGCGCGCTGCTGGTGTTCCTGAGCCTGCTGGGCTGGATCCTCTGGTACACGGGCAACATCGAGATCTCGCGCCAGGAGCTGGAGCGCGACTACGGCCTGCGGCCCTCGGCGCTCGCCCGCCTGGCGCGCAAGCTCTCCCGCCGCTGGTCGGCGCCCGCCGCCGCCGGCTCGCGCCCCACGCCCGGCTCCCGGAGAGCGCGCCGAGCCACCCGGGCGCCCCCGCCGCCCGCCGCCGGCTCCCGCCGCGTGCGCCTGCAGCTCGCCACGCTCGAGGCCGGGCCCGGGGCGGCGGGCGCGGGCAGCGAATGAGGCCCAGGTGAGGGGCAGGCGGGCGGGGCGGCGGGGGAAATGCAGGGCCTGAGGGAGCGACGTGGGGAATGGAGACAGACGGGGAGCGTTGGACAGATTGAGACGGAGAGCGGCCATGGGGTGGTAGAGTCCCAGGGCGGGTGGACACCAGATGGGAAGACTGGCCGAGAACCGCAGACAACGGGCACAGGTGCAGACGTGGGGGAGGCTGTGAGACCCTGCCCTGGAGGTGAGGTGGGAAGTGTGGCGGCCGAGTCACAGGCCCCCCACGGGGAGATCCACACTCGCTCCAGCCTCCAGGTGCACCAGGCCGCCCCGCCCCCCGCTCCTTTTTTTTTTTTTTTGGTTTCGTTTTGGTTTGGTTTGGTTGTTGTCGTTTGGGGTTGTTTTGAGACAGGGTCTCTCACTGTCACCCAGGCTGGAGAGCAGTGGCGTGATTTTGGCTCACCACAGCCTCGACCTCCTAGGCTCAAGCAATCCTCCCACCTCAGCCTCCCAAGTAGCTGGGACTATAGGCGTGCACCACCTTGCCGGGCTAATTTTTGTATTTTTAGTAGAGACGGGGTTTTCCCATGTTGGCCAGGCTGGTCTCAAACTCCTGAGCTTATGGGATCTGCTCTCCTTGGCCTCCCAAAGTTCTGGGATTACAGGTGTGAGCCATGCAGCCTGGCCCAGTCCCCGTTTAATCCTCTCGATGTAACTGGGTCTCTGAGGTCACTACTATTACCATCTCCATTCTGCAATGGAGGAAACTGAAGCACAGAGAGGCACCACTTTTGCCCAAAGCCACACAACACGGAGGTGGAGGATCTGGGATTCTCCTGACCTGTAGTCCTAGGAGAGGAGGAGTAAGAAGGACCAACCGTGGCAGAAGAAGTGAAGCCACCACACATTCACTCCCCTTTCCCCTCTACCTTCTCTTTCCTAAACACACCTCTCCAGCTTGCTGCCTCTGCTCAAAGACCTGCTGTGGCTCCCTCTTCACCTTTGGTTAAACTGAAGCACTCACTGGGCTCTGGAGCCCCCATATTTTGTCCCCATTTCTCCTGCCTCTCTGCAGTAATGATGTCTCTCAGTCTACAGATGGCCAGTTGGTCCCTGTTCCTGCTCTTCTCTATACGAGGAGTGCCCTTGGCTGTCTCCACTCCACCTAGAAAACTTCTCACATGTTTAAGATCCAACTCAATTTCTCTGGCTTTCTCTGGATCTTCATATTGTCTGAGTGACTCCTCTTGCTGCGTGTATGGCCGTCTGCTGGGTCTGTGTTGGTACAGTCTCTCCCACCTGATGGGGAGTGCCTTGAGGGTAAGACCTAGATTCCTGGTGCCCTTGTTCCTAGCATTGCCCAGCAAAAAGGGTGAAATCAGGAAAGGTTGGTGGTTGGGTAGGAAGGTGGAAGAATGGATGGATAAATGGACGGAAGAATTGATGGCTGGATGGGTGGATGGGTAGATGAGTGGGTAGGTGGATGGGTAGATGGGTAGATGGATGGGTAGATGGGTGAGTGGGTGGATGGGTAGATGGATGGGTGGATGGGTAGATGGATGGGTGGATGGATGGATGAATTGTTTGATGGATGGATGGGTGAATGGATAGATGGATGGGTGAATGGGTAGATGGGTGGGGGGTGGATGGGTAGATGTATGGGTGGATGGATGGATGAATTGTTTGATGGATGGATGGGTGAATGGACAGATGGGGGTGGGTGGATGGGTGAATGAATGGGTTGGTTGATGCAGAGATGTGATTGAATTGATGGATGGATGGGTTGTTTTGTGGGTAGATGTGGGTAGGTGTTGGATTGGTGGGTGAACCATGAATGGATATGGCTGGGGAGGGAGCCTTGCCTGATATTTCTCTGTGTCCTCGGCCTCACCATGCAGCATGGTGCTGGGGGAGGCCTCAGAGACTCCTAGTGAACAGAAGGAATGAGGGTGCCTGTGTCACCGCCCTGGGACACCTCACCTTGCAGTTACACCTAGGAACTCCTTGGGGCAGGGGCCTTGGCTGGTCCATAGGATTATCCATAGACAGTCGGGGTTTGCCCAGCCTCTGTGCATGCTCTGGATAGGTAGATGGGTGAATGGGAGGTTGGATGGATCGTTGGGGCTGATTGACGGGTACACAGATGAGTGGATGAATGTATTTATTGGAATATGGATGGATGGGTGACTGAATCCATCTCTCAAATAGGGGTTTGGTAAAAGAATTAAACCTTCCTATCCTAGGACATTCTGTGTAGGTAAAGAATTAACTTTTCTCCTATGCATCCAGAATGTTACCAGTTATGTATTATTCTTAGTGAGATTGAAGAAATAGTCACCCCAATCATACTCTACGTGCCATGGTTCAGTTCAGGGGATGGGGTAAAAGAGCATGAACAACCGCTTGCTCAGGTGAAGCGTGAGCTGACATGGAGCTTGGCATGGAATGCAACAGTAAGCACCTGCAGTCACTCTCACCTTTGAAAATCCTGGCTGAGCACGGTGGCTCACACCCGTAATCCCAGCACTTTGGGAGACCAAGGTGGGAGAATTGCTTGAACCTGGGAAGCGAAGGTTGCAATGAGCCAAGGTCACGCCACTGGGCGACAGAACGAGACCCGTCTCAAAAAAAAGGAAGAAAAAAAGAAAATCCTTTATGAGGCCAGGCACGGTGGTAATCCCAGCAGTTTGGGAGACTGAGGCAGGTGGATAACCTGAGGTCAGGAATTCGAGACCAATCTGGCAAATGTGGCAAAATCCCATCTCTACTAAAAAGACAAAATTTAACTGGGTATGGTAGTGGATACCTATAATCCCAGTTACTCTGGAGGCTGAGGCAGGAGAATCACTTGGACCTGGGAGACGGAAGTTGCAGTGAACCAAGATCACACCACTGCACTCCAGCTTGGGCAACAGAGCGAGACTCCATCTCAAAAAAATAAAAAGAAAATCCTTTACGTAGCTCAAACGTCTAACACAGCTGCACAGGCCTCCACTCTTGGAGGCTCCACCAAAGACTCAGACCACGCTGACTTGAACAAAGGCCCCACTTACAGGGAAAATGAACCTGTTCAGACCCAGGACTCCCCCTTACTGGGGAGGGTGAGCAATGTCTGGCACAGGAAGGACAGAGAACCTGCATTTTAGCAGAGGGACACACGGATTTCTAGCTCTGGTAGCCCCCAGAACCTCCAAGACCACCATGAGCAGCAGAGCGGAGCCATGCCCATCGCTTTGTCGTCCAGGCTGGAGTGCAGTGATGCAATCATGGCTCACTGCAGTCTCGATCTCCTGGACTCCAGCCATCCTCCCACCTCAGCCTCCCAAGAAGCTGGGGCTACAGGTACGAGAGACAGGGTCTCCCTATGTTACCCAGGCTGGTGTCAAACTCCTGGGCTCAAGTGATCCTCCTGCCTGCAGCCAAAGTGCTAAAGTGAGGGTCCAAAATGAGGGCCACAGTGCCCAGCCTCCCTCTGTCTTCTCTGTGTCTGCCTTTCTCCCTCTCTCCCTTTTCGCCTCTGAGTCTCTGTCTCCCAGGTCTCTTTCTTTGTCTCTGTGCCTCTGTCCTTCCCCTTCTGAATCTCCGTGTCTCCCCTTCTTCTGTGTCTCCCCCGTCTTCTGCGTCTCCCCCTCTTTTCTGCCTCTCCCTCTCTCTCCTTCTGCGCCTCCCCCTCTGCCTGTCCCTGGCTCACATTCCCTGTCTTCTACCCATGGATTCCAGTGGGTAAAAGGCACACACTTATGCACACACTCAGTAAATAAGGGCATGCAGGGACGAAGAAGCAAGGGCAGGTGGAAGGGGTTCCCTGCCTCTGCCCCCCCAGGCTGCTGGGTGGTGCACCCCGAACACAGGGACAGGAGGGGTTCCTGAGCAGTCACTCACTCCACCCTCCCTCCCGCAGCAACCCCTCGGCCCCAGCTGTCAGGACCAGAATGAGATGTGCAGCTGCCCCTACATCGGCGGCCAGCAGGACACCCCCTGCCCACCTCCCTCCTCACCTGGATAAAAAACAGATTCACCTCAGCACTGCCTGTCTGTCTTGGAGAGGAACCTGCTGGGGTGGGAATGGAGACGAGATGGCCTGCTTCCTTCTAGGGCCCAGGTGGGCCTGGCCACACCCGAGGTGAGGTGGCCCCTGCCCTGGGGAGCCCGGGAGCCCTGGGGATATAGGCACCCAGGCTTATGCTGCCTCTTCTCAGAGGGGACCCGGGAGGGGGTGGGGGTAAGGCTCTCAGCCCAGACCCCTCTACTCTACCCAGACCTCCCTGGGTGTGTTTGGATTCTCCGAGAAACAGACACAGAGGCAAATTGGATTTGTGAGATGTTTATTGGGGAAACACTTTTGAAGGGTAACTTGGTGCAGGGAGATGGAGGGACGGGTAGGGTGAGTCCTGGACCGCAGTGCCCTCCAAGAAAATTGCCCCTGGCCACTAGGAGCTGGGAGCTGGCTTTGTCGTCCATGGGGGAGGCCCCTGCCCTTCAAGAAGGCGCCCTGTACCCGGAACCCCCACCCCTTGCCTCGCCAAGCTCAGTTACTGGTTGAGAGCCGCCCATGGTCATCTAGGTGCATCCAGGGTGGGTTCAGGGGCACTTCATGTGGCAGGAGACTGAGGGGGATATTTCCCCAGCTGTGCCATGCCCCTCCCCGCCAGTCCAGGCACCCCTTAGCCCCCGCCATCCCCACATGCCCCCAGTCACCCCATTTCAGACCCTCCTTCCAGCCCGTGCACACCTCTGCCCCGCCAGTCCAGGGCCCCCGTAAGCCCAGCTCTCCTTCATCTCAGATCCCCTCCACTTACCTCCCAGACCTCTCTCATTCCAGGGTCCCCCTCAGCTCACACCCCCATGCACAGCCTGTGCCCCCTGAGCTCCCATCCCCAAGCCCCCTGCAGCCTCCACCTGTACCCCCACCTCTGTGTGCACCATGCCTCTGCTCCCCACAGCTCTCAGAGAAGAGACCACGTGTCCACACACCATATCTGTATTGAGTGCTTCCCTGGGGACACCCCTAATCTTCGTCTTCCACACCCTCCGTCTCCTCTCCCTCTTCTGTCCCTTCCCCCTCGGTGCCCCCCTCCGTGTCCTTGCCCGATTTGACCATGGAGCTGGATGTCTTCTTGCTCCCTCGTTCCTTGGAGAGCAGCGAGACCCTCCGGGATAGGTCGCAGTTACCCGCCACGAAGCTGGGAGTGTGCAGCAGGTCCCGGCGCCTGGCCCACCTGCAGAGAGAGCAAACCGCTCAGCCCCCACAGCCCCCCTGGATCCCTGGGGATGCAGGCACCCACCCCAGCCCAGGCCCACTCACCAGAACAAGCAGACGCCGCAGCTCAAGAAGAGGAGGCCGCCACACGTCCAGCCCAGCGCCCACATGTGCTTCCTCCGCATGTTTTCTGGACAAGGGAGGCAGGGTTAAGACCCGGGGCTTCTGCACCAGACCCACCCCCCAGGGAGCTGGGACCCGGGGCCCTCACCATCTGGACGCTGGTGGTAGCAGACCCCATCGCGATAGCAGCACCGTAGGCGCAGGCAGAGGTTGGGGCTGTCGATGGCCGCCTGGCCCCCACAGCTCTCCCGGTCCCACACATCACCCTCACAGCCTGGGGACCAACCACCAGTGGCTGGCTTCTTCACAGCGCCCTGCCTCAAAGGCCTCAGCCACGGGATGCCAAGGCCACGCTCCCAGGCTGCCTTCCTGGTGCTTACTCCGTGCAGGACTCAGGGGTCCAGGCCCAGCCCCTCCTCCCTCAGACCCAGGGGTCCAGGCCCCTAGCCCCTCTTCTCTCAGACCCAGGGGTCCAGGCCCAGCCCCTCCTCCCTCAGACCCCACGGATCCAGGCCCAGCTCCTCCTCCCTCAGACCCAGGAGTCCAGGCCCCAGTCCCTCCTCCCTCAGACCCAGGGGTCCAGGCCCAGGCCCTCCTCCTTCAGACCCAGGGGTCCAGGCCCAGGCCCTCCTCCCTCAGACCCAGGAGTCCAGGCCCCCAGCCCTTCCTCCTTCAGACCCTCTGGTCCAGGCCCACAGCCCCTCCTCCCCCAGACCCAGGAGTCCAGGCCCCCAGCCCCTCCTCCCTCAGACCCAGGGGTCCGATCTGGGCTCTTCTCCCTCAGACCCAGGATTTCATCCACTGCTCACTCCATGGATAGAAGAATCCCTGGATTCCATTCCCGTCTGTGAGAGAAAGGGCAGTGTTGGGCTGTGTGGGGCCGGGTGCCCTCCTCAGAGCCCTCCTCTGCTCCCGGCCTCACCTGCTGAGCCCTGAAGCAGCAGGAGCAGGCCCAGTGCAGGGATCCCAGAGCCCAACATGTCGCCTCCCCAGACCTCTGGGCTGCTGTGGGGAGAGGCCTCACAGGACCACGCCCTAGCAACCGGTCCGGCCCCGCCCCCCAGCCCCCCAGCCCCAGGATTCTGAGTTCTGTTGCTAGGGAGTCCCCAAAGCAATGGGGATGAGGGGGTGGGGGCTTCACACCAGCCTGGCCATGCCTGGTCCAGGGCGTTGATTCTTTAGGGACTTGGTGGAAGAGGGGGGCATCTCAGGTTTAGAAGAGCCTCTTGGCAGGCCGGGAGCCGTGGCTCACACCTGTAATCCCAGCATTTTGGGAGGC